CGGATTAGTGTGGATGGTAGGCCTAACCGTAGAAATAAAGCTGCGTTTTCAAATTCCTCCGGCGTAGTGTGGACGCTTCGTAAGTCACGCCTGGTTTCGGAATTTCCAAGAGGGTTTGAAATAGCCAATCCTGTGACGCGGATTTTACTGACGTGGACAGTCTGAACGACTTAACACGCATTTTAATCCTTAACGAAAATATACACTGGCGTAGCTGGCGTAGTACCTTCATCCGCTAGAGAACTGGTTGCCATTTCTAAAAATACCTTGAGAGGGTTCCAGGGCTTCAAATAACGGCCGGTCAACAGACAATGTCCGGTTAAAAATAGGTTTTGTCCGGTCAAATCCTTAGATGGCCGGACAATTTGTCCGGTCGTTTACGCTGGTAAGGAAAAAATTCAGGGTTTCAAGTTTTAAATATTTAAAAGTTTAATATTATTGGCGTTTGTGAAAAAGGAGGGGAAAAGGGGCGGATACTTGACTACTAGACCAAGAACTTTTAATAAATGATTCGTAATAGTCATAAATCGTTGCACATTTTCGATTTGTCATTTACCCAGTCGTCACCGCAAATTAGCGGGTGTGAATCACTTTATTGTTTATTTTATGGTCCGTGTGGGTTTTGTGAACATGACGTGAGAAGGATAACAAAAAAAAGTCGGTACAAGGGTGTGAAAATAACAATAACAAAAAAGCAAGTTACATTCATTTGTCTACTTCTCGAATAAATGCTTTGAAAATTTACGTGTTTCATATTTAACATCATGTGAAGTGGGGGGTGGGTGGACACTTTTATAGCGGTAAGACGTAATCGATGTTTGTACGGCCAAAAATGGGATATGTCCGAGCAAAAATAGATTTGACCGGACAATTTGACCGGCGCCAGACGGGAAATTATTTGAAGCCCTGGGGGTCACTTTGCGAATAAGGGCTATGCAGCGAAACAGCTCTCGTACCCTTCATTCCCTCTCGATATATAAGAAGGAACATAACAACACAGATACAATTTTCCTAGTTTTGCATAGTTTGCAAACTAAAGAAAATAACATTGACCTTAACATCGTGTTACGAGTGAAAGTATCAGCTTTACGGCGCGAGGGATTATTTCTGGTTTATTATCCCAGGGAAATGAATTCGTTACCTTGTACATGTATAAACCCGTCAACGGTTAAGATATCTTCACCATTTGTTGATTCAATGATGTTAGAGCTTTCTTTTTATTAACTGGTTATCTAAGGAACTAATGAAAGAAATGCAGCAATACCTGGGTACGCTGCGACAGTTGAAAGATTTCGACGAAAACCTAGGCAGAGAAATTGAAGCCAAAGCCTACCAAGAGCAAGAAATAATCAAGCGTGAGGTGAGAATAAACTTTATTACTTGCAAAAGAGGGAAGATTGAAAAGACAGTTGTGTGTTCGACTGAGTAATCATATGCAATATTAGTTGTAGTACCAACATAAGTCAGCAATTCTACGCGCCACTTAGCTTTATATACGTTGCTTTCACGAACTGAACTGCGAGCGAAATATTTCTGGCTTCATTAAACCTAATTGCGATTGCAATAGTCTAATTTTATTAAGAAAAAGCAGCTTATTCAAAATGCAGAAACATTTTTCTTAACGATATAACAATACATCTTTCAAAAGAAATGAGAGATTCCTTGCATTCTTGATAGCTATTCTTGATTCTTGTGTGTGAGTTAGGTATATATAAACTGAAAATTGTAAGTACAAGAGCGAATAAAGTTTGTTGTTGTTGTTGTTGTTGATAGCTTCTCTCATTGATAGCTATAGTCCATGAGAGAATAGACGATACAAATAACTAAAGGACGAAGCAACTAATGCGATGTGAATTCAAAAAATTAACAAAATATTTTTTTTTTTTTCCGTCAGGAGGAAATTGCTCGCTTACAACAAGAAAATCGTGAACAAGAAATGAAAGTAAGACATACAGCTGTGATTTGATGCTTACGTATCCCCACTAAACCGATACGTAGGTTATGAGAATAAATAACCATATCATCTCCTTAAACCCATGTTGAAAACTCTTCTATGTAAATTTATCCTGTAAGCGAAATTTTCTCAACTACAGTCGGACCTCCCGTAAGCGACCAGCCAAAATGTCAAACCCAGGTGGTCGCTTACGAGAGCTTAGATCATAATGGGTCAAAATTTTTCCTCATTAGAAAATGGCAACTGTCGAGACTTAACCCATGCGCCCATGCCGATGCAATGTTTTATTCGTATGAAAGTCAATTTCGAGAGAAAAATCCTGTTCTTCCCGTTGAGAAATGTCCGTTTCTTGTACTAGCCAGTAATGTTACCACACCTTATTATCCATTTTTCGCTCCATTATCTGTCAAGTGGTCGCTTACAGGAGGTTAAAAGCAAAGGAAAGTTTCAAACTTTTAGCTCTAAAAGTGGTCGCGGTCGCTTATGAGAGGTGGTTTCTTACAAGAGGTTCCAAATATAGTGATTTGACTTGGAAACTTTTGGTATTTTGGAAAACTGGTCGCTGAGGAGAGGTGGTCGCTTACGAGAGGTGGTCGCAACCGGAGGTTCGACTGTATAAAGTGATAGAAATTGTATGAATGAGCGTAAAAGGAGTTTTGATTTTGATCTTACTAGCACTTGCTTTCCTGTAATTCTAGTACATACCACGCCTCGTGCAGTATTTTATATGGAATGGAAAGCAGTTTGAAGTACAGCTTAATATTAGAATGGCAGGAGAGCTACTTTTATTTTTATCTCAACTAAACAGACGTTTACACATTTAGTGATTCCATCTTTACTTGTTAAATTCTTTTTTCTTCAAACCCACATTTTTTCGATATACCTTCATACTCACTTTGGTGATTCCATCAGTACTTGTTAAATTCCTTTGTTTTTTTCAAACCCACATTTTCTCTATATACCTTCATACTCACTTAAATTTCTCAAGCTGGTTCCACTACTATACCACTCACTGTAACTCACATTTTTACTATCCTCTCTTGAAACAGATGGAAATGTTGCTAGCAAAACAACAGCAAGAAACAGAGAGACTCCGTAAACAAATGTACGCTGAGGCAAAGGCTCAACGAGATCAAATGGATAACATGATGAAAGCAAACATGAAGCAGGCTGAAGAAGACAGACGAACTCTTATCCAAGATAATCCGGCATTAAACAAACAACTTGAAATGCAAAAATTAACTGAAGGAATCAGTATGCAGCAAAGGATTGAGAACTTGAGACAACTGCATCAGAATCAGCTTATGCTGCAGGAGGTTAAAAACCCAGGACACTTTGACGCATCGTGTAGCGTTATGTAAGCCCTATTAAATCGTCCATAAGCTTAAAAATTAATTGATTCAGTTTGTTCATTATCATCATCATCATCATCATCATCACCATCACCATCATCAACAACATTTATTTGCCACGTAAATAATAACAAAAGATATTGGCAATACTCAAAAAGCGACGAGGAGACGTCCAAAAGAAACCACCAGGCGTATAACGGAGGTCACTTCAGAAGTTAATGTATTGATAATTTTAAAACCCCTCGGGCGCGGCATGACCAATTCACAATTTTGTAAATAAAAATGTGATCAACTTTTTCTTATATAAAATTGGCTAAGATTTATGCAGTTTGCCTGCATCTTCCTTTCGTGCATCGCGTATTTTGTAACGACTTCAGTTCGTGAACTGGACATGTACGATTAGGAGTACACGCGTATCACCGCTTTTGATTCTTAAGTTTAGACCGTTGTATAACTGACTTTATTATATCTCTCAGTTAGTTCGCGTGCTGTGATTGGTCAGTTTAGCAGGCCGTATTCGGGGGCGGCGTGGCCCAGTGGTTAGGGCGCTGGATTTGTAATCCGGGGTCCTGAGTTAAAATCCTCCTCCCTGCCACTAGATGGATTTGTGTTTGGTGGTCCCAGATTCAACTCCTCCACGCTTTGTAAATACCCAATGTCACAATATTGTCTTGTGAGTTCTTTATTTAATAACGCAACGGCTGAAAACATGACAACACGAGCGAACAATATGGCGGATAGCTCCAGTTCCGCCTCAAGCTTCCGAGGCCCGATGGGAGCACGTGGCATGACGTAATATGACAGCCAACTAGTCAGCCTCCCCGCAAGTTGGGATTTTTATCAAGTTTTTGCTTGATTAACAATATTTGTTTGCTTATTTCAGTGTCCACAATTAGTACAGTTGTGCGAAACACTTCGACACTTAAAAAAAAAATGTTTCTTTTTTTTCCTACTGTACAACCCGCTAAAATTTAAAACTGCCAAAATATTTCGCGATTTATCGCCAATTGTTCTTAACTTTTTTAGCAAGTAAAAGAGAACTTTCTTTTACTTCTGAAATTTTCTATTAAACCCTGCTAGCGACTTAAGAGTCACTCAACAACGGTATCAAATTGACTCGTTTTGCTTTCGAGGTGCGTCAGAAACGCGTGAATAGAAATCGTTCCCGAAGCCACCAGACACACAGTGGAGATAAGAGAAATATCTTTGTAAACTCCTCTTCTCGGTCCGTACTGTAAGTTACGGATCCTCGTTTTTCCCCTCCGATTTATGGCCCGTGCTTCGCGCTTGGGCCATAAATCGTCGGGGGAAAAAAACGGTCCGTAACTTTCAATACGGCCCTCGAGCTCGGTTAGTAAGAGGTATTGAATGTCATCGTAGAGAAACTGATGAAACGCTATGAGGGCACTTTCTATAACATTTGACGGGTTATTTTTCTACCTCTTACGCAGCCGGCCTACGCCTCGTGACCTCATTATCCTAACAGAGAATATGAGATATGGTACCATCCTGATAAGTTCTTAGGAAGGACACTTTACCCTCACAATCTCTCTCTCATTCAGGTCTGTAATCTAGAGAATAATAAAAAGGGGATAAAGTGATCAGCTTGGTCATTGACTCTCTCATAACCTAACTAGCTGAATTTGTTACACAGACTAAAGGAGAAGATGCAAACTGTATTAGTGCTGACTGCACTACCCTAACACTACAAAAACTAATGGGCCGGGTCGAGGGAAAAAGGGGCTCTCGTGGGCTAAGATCTTTGTCGAAAATATCTGCTGGTTTGATCTTCTAAGACTTAAAAAGAGAAGTAAAATGGAAAAATCGGTTTTTTTCCATGCAAAAGGAAACGGGTCCAGCATTCAGTTAAAGTAAATCTTAGTCTAAGACTCTAACCAACCAAATCATGACCAAATTGAACGAAAGTCGTCGAAACTGCAACCTAAGCCCTGGACAAAGAGCTAAATAGCGTCGCTGTTTGGCGCGGCGTAACAACCATTCGGCCTTGCACGCAAGTCTCATGTCGGTCAAGTTAGCGTGTCCAAGCTGTAATATTTTCTTCCATATCAAATACTTTAAGTTAACTTTTAAAGAATGCTTGCAAGACAGATTACAGTATCAAGTGAAGTCTGATTTCCATGAAAACCCTATCGAACCTAAGCCCAATTTGTTTACACGTTACTTTCCTTTGAACATAACCACTAAGATAGCCCAATTTGTTTTCACGTTGCTTTCCTTTGAACATAACCATAGTAGCAATCCGGCCGTTTTCGTATTAAAACCTGTCTCTACTTCAGTCCTTATTTGGGTCGCGAAGTCACCATGAAAAACCTCTGCATGGCGACCCAAATAAGGAGACTCGGCCATCTGAGCCAATATCATACCCAGTCTTAGCTTGCGTAGCAAGCGTTCTGACACGAAGAGCCTTATCCGCATTCTGGCAGCGTGTAAATTGGAGCTAAACACTTTAGCTAAGTACTGTAGAAGATTCAAAAATTGACAATCTGTTATTGCTGTCTCATAATTCGCGGTTCGTTCAATCACTTAAGTCAGAACAAAGGCTCATTTTTAATAACGACATTCTAATAACAACAACCTTACCACGCCCTCTTGAAGGCGTGCTCATCCATACTTATCCATGATACATTGCGATCAAAGTGCGTGTCGCGATGTCACGACACTTGTAATGACATCCGTGACAGATGCGCCTCGCATCTGCAAAAATATATGCACCCCAAACTACATTACTCCAGTTTATTTGATTCTTCTTAGACAAATTGACTAGAGATGAGAATACAAAGTATAACAAGGTACAAAGGTATATTGGACAACCCAACCTAGCTAGAGTTGTCACTCAACTCTACCTGATTAATAAAATACAGTACAAATGTGAACTAGAAAACATTTACAGTGAAGAATCACAGCAAGATCTTTCGAGTGTTCAGATGAAGGTAAGGCTAACGTTTAACAACGTTTTTCATTTGCACCTGATTGGTTAGTCTCCTTCAGAGCCATTACTCGGGTCGTCACGCAACGCTTCTCCTCATTGTGAGGAGAAGCGTTGCGTGACGACCCTAATAAGACTACTGATTGGTTGAAAATCAACGTGTGTAAAACGTGCACTTTTCACTAGTTAGAGAGCATTTGCAAATGCCAACACATGGCTTTCCCCAATCAACTGAAAAGCACTCTTTCTAATTCATACAAAGGGCCTAAGGGCTTGCTACAAACAAACTGTAAAGCAAGGTACAGTCTAAAAGATTAGTGGAAATGTTTCCTTACTTATTGATAATTCTCAATTTTAGCAAACAGTTGATCAGAACGGATCATCTGAAGACGAGAAATTTTCTGGTCTACATAATCTATTCATGGCAGTAAAAAAAACGATATAATAGTTAGATAACAGACGGCAAAATACGAAGTTAAGATATTAATATAAACAAGTAGATCTCTGTTTGACTTTAAAATTTCTCCAGACACTCGACTGCGATGGAACTAATTTACAACTATAGCATCAGAATTTCTAACTTAAGGTAAAATACAAAAAATTATTTACTGCGCATGGTGTCAATTGCACTTAGCTGTAGCAACAAAGAAGATCTAAAATACGATACCATTAAAAATTAAAAATACAATTATCCACTAATAACCAGTGTCATCCCATTTAAAACTCTATCTTTTGACTCTTTTCCAAGCTCAGTGAGGGAAATTACTGTAGCTTCCCGTGGTTATCTAAAAATTAACTACACATGTGAAAGAAATTAAAAATATTCCATGTACTCTATCTGTGTACTTGTAAATGGAATTTCTCTCGCAGACAATTAACATAATCCCTTCTTTTATAGATAGTTCCTTTTTGTCGAAAGAGAAAAGGTGACGAGAAAGGAAATAAAACAGAACAGAATAGAATGAGAAAGAAAAGGAAAGGAAAGGAAAAAATAAACAGAAAGAAAGTAAAAAAAGAAGAAAAATCCAAAAGTGACACTTGTGATAAGATGTCAACAATCACACAAATTGCCTCCTACAAGCTGAGATTGTGCATGTTACCAAAACAGCCTCTGGTTCCTGTAAAAATGATTGCTTATAAAGCTTTTAGCTAAAAGTAAGGACTTTCCAGCTACCCAGAAACAGCCAAATTCCCCTGGCTAATCTCCCACACTTCTCACAAAAAATGTTGAAAGATAACAGCACATGAAAACAAGCTGCCTTTCAGAATCTTCTTTTTGTCGGGACAATATGAGAAGCTGAATGGTTATTCATGCTGCTGTTTGAGTATTGTCTAGTAGGAATTTTACGTCAGGAGTGGGCAGGGCAGTCAGGGAGTGAGCTAAGAACACTGTAAGAGAAAAGGGGATTGAAGGTACAATGTAAGGGAGGTCAGTGGCCCCCTGCCTCACTCTCAGTCTCCCCCACCTCTCCCTAGAAGACTAGCTCTATTAACAAATACTTTTTATAAAACATCTACCTCCTTGTTGTGACTCACTATACATGTAGTGCTGAATACAAATACTTTCCCAAAGTATTAATGGGAATATAATTATGCAATAATTATTGTTAAAACAGCAATAGAAAGCTGTTCTCATCCACAGGTATTTGGTTGCATGAATACATGCATTTAAAGGCTTTTTCATCATGTCCTTAATCACAGTCTAACAACTGCAAGAAATCTTACATCAAGTTCATCGATGAGACTGCTGAATACAACTATGCCTGGAAAACATGAGCTCTACAGAACATTACATCAATTGTTATACAAAGGGCTAATAATAATAATAATAATAATAATAATAATAATAATAATAACAATAACAACAACAATAATAATAATAATAAGTATTATTATAACTGTCAGAAGTCCAGAGTTGACAAAAATCACCAACTACTTTGTGATCTCGGCCGGCTACTCTGCTAGGCTTGCATTCATCTGATCCTTTAGGAAACGATGAATTGGCACTTGGGGGAATGACTGCCATATAAAAAGGATGGGG